ACACACCACACCACACACACACACACACACACACACACACACACACCTGGCATAGCACACTTACCTTGGTCGGGACCTTCCAGAGCGCGCACTTGGATCTCTGGTCCCCTGGTCGCCCCATTGGAAGAGTAGCCTGGGGCTCCAAAGTGCCTCCAGCGAGGCAAGGAGCGGTGTAAGGCACGCAGCATTAGGGCGCTAGTCGGAAGGGGCTTCTACACGTCCCAGCTTCCTTCTTTTCCGCTGAAAGCTCGCAGCTCCTCTGGGCCTTTGAAATTGCTCCCCCTATGGGCCAGCTGATAGGCAACATCATGGTAGATGGAGAAGATTGAAACCTTCAAGGACTTCCTCATGCTTGGATCTACCATCAACATCCTTCCTACCAACAGACAGGAGAGCAGGAAACGTATTGTACTGGGAAAGTCTGTAATCAGGGACCTCCCCAAATTATGGAGGAGCAATGATGTCAGTTTGAGGACTAACTGACTTGACTCTAGCCATGGTCTTTTCAGTCACTTGCTATAAATCTGAGAGTTGAGTGACAGAATTGATGCCTTTGAACTGTGGTGCTGGAGAAGAGTATTAAATATCCATGGATGCCAAGAAAACAAACAAATTTGTCTAGGAGAGGGTGCAGCCAAAAAGTTCTTTAGAGGCAGAGATGATAAATTTCGTCTCTCATACTTAGGCATGCTGTTAGGAGAGTTTATCCCATGGTGAGGGTCATCATGCTTGGAAAGGTGGAGGGATGGTGAACGACAGAAAGACCCTCAACCAGGTGAACTGACACAGTTACTGCAGCTTGAGTGTGTCAGGACAGAACAAGGTTCACATCTACTGCTAATAGGGTTGCTATGAGTCATACTGAGGGCTCTGAACAACAACAACAACAACAGTGGGCCAAGCCTGCTTCAATCTGCCTTACTAACACTTGAGGAAAGACTGTCCATCTTCCTAAATGTCAGTGTTCAAATCTGTAAAAAGGGAATAGTAAAAGGCAACTTAAGAACATAAAGCAAAATATTTTAGCAAAATATCCAAAGAGCTGGAGTTAGCAAAAAGGGAAAACTGACTCAGCATTCCTCAAGTTGAAAGAATTTAAAAACAAATTGAAGTATCAAGTTGCAATATTGAAAGGTACTATGAGCAAAATCTTTAATGATCCATGAAGCATCCAAAGAAGATGGGAAGAAAACACAGAAAATTGACATGACCAAAAGAACTAGTTGACACTGAAAAATTTCAGGAAGTACCATATCAACAATAAGCCAATGGTTATGGAGGATGATGTTCAAGCTGCATTAAAGGGACTGGTAAAAAAGAAGGCCTTGATGGAATACAAACTTACATGTTTTGACTAACAGATGCAGCCCTGGATGTGCTCACCAGGCTATGCCAGGAAACCTGGAGGACAGCTGCCTGGCTGGCTGAATGGAAGAGGTCATATTTGTCTCATTCTCCCAAACGGTGATCCAACAGAATGTGGAAATTATTGAACAATATCATTAATATCACATGTAAGCAAAATATTGATGAATATGATAAAAAAATGCATATAACAGTACATAGAGAACTGCCAGGAGTTCAAGCTAGGTTTAGAAGAGGCTGTGGCACCAGGGGTATTATTACTGATGTCAGATGAATCTTGGTTGAAAGTAGAGCATACCAGAAGAATGTCTATTTGTGCTTCATTGATTTTAGAAAAGCATTTGACCATGTGGATCACAACAAATTATGGCTAAGATTGAGAAGAATGGGAATAGCAGAACATTTAATTGTGCTCATGAGAAATCTACACTTAGACCAACATGATATTGACTTCACTAAGGAAGAAAACACTGCATAGTTTAAAATCATGGAAGGTGTGCAAGAAGGTTGTATCATTTCTCCATACCTAATCAGTGCGTATGCTGAGCAAATTGTTAGTGAAGTTGGACTTTATGAAGAGGAATGTGGTATTGGGATCAAAGGAAGACTCGTCAACAACCTGTGTTATATAGATGCTACAACCTTGCTTGCTGAAAGTGAGGATGATATAAAATGCTTTCTATAAATGCTTTGGTATGGATTACATCTCAACATCAAGAAAACACAAATTCTCACCACATGAGTAACAATCAGCATTATGATAGGTGGAGAAAGGATTGAAGCTGTCAATGATTTCATTCTTCTTGGATTAATAGTCAGCATCCTTGATACCAGCAGTCAGGAAATCTGGAGAAGTATTGCACTGAGTAAGTATGTTGTTAGGGACCTATTCAAAATCTTGAAGAGAAATTATGTCAGTTTGAAACTGAGGTGTGCCTGATTCAGGCCGTGGTCTTCTGAATCACCTGATATGCGTCAAAGAGGTGGACAATGAATAAGGATGATAGAAGAATTGTCGTGCTGGAGAAGATTACGGAGTATTTCATCGGCTGCCAAAAGAACAGATATGTCTTGGAAAAAGTGAAGCCTGAGTGCTTCTTGGAGGCAAATATGGCAAAGCTTCATCTCACATACTTGGACATGTTGCTTTTCCTTGAAAAGGGACATCATGCTTGGAAAGATAGAGGGTTAGTGAAGAAGAAGAAGGAGCCCAACAAGATGAATTGACATGATTTTAGCAATGGGCTCTAGAGCAGCAGAGATGTTGAGGATGGTACAGGATAGGATAGAGTTCAGGCCAGCTATTCACAGGATTGCTATGAGTGTACTTGACTCTATGGCACTAACAACAACAATAATTACTGGTAACTTGAAGTGCTGCCAACCCAAAGGCAGACAGTTTGAATCTACCAGCTGCTCCATGGGACAAAGATGGTCAGTCTCATCTTGTGTGATTTATAGCCGCTGACACCCTCCAATGCTGCTGCTTCATTCTTCTTATAATCCAAGCTTTCATATTATTTGCTCACCGTACATATTGAATAAATATAACAAAAGGAGACAATACTGACATACACCTTTCTTGGTTTTAAACCATGTAGTAATTGCTTGTTTGTTTCAAACATGCCTTTTGTTATATGTACAGGTTTCATATGAGCACAATTAAATGTTTTAGAATTTCCATTCTTTCCATCACCAATAAAATACAGGCCTATATTTTGCATATTATTTGCATATGCTCTGCTTTAAGCTGAGATATATTTTATATCAGCCATGACATTCCACATTCCATGTTTTCCACATCCAACTTGGATCTCTGTTAGTTTGCTGTCAGTATACTGTTGCAAACATTTTAAAATGATTTTTCAGTAAAATTTTGCTTGTGTGTGACATTAATGATATTCTCTGATCATTTCTATATTCTGTTGTGTCAATTTTCTTTCAAATTGGCACACACATAGATCTCTTTCAGACAGTTGGTCAGGTAGTTGTTTTCCATATTTCTTGGAATGAACAGGTTGCATCTGTTTGATGAAACATTCCAATTGGTATTCTGTCAATTCTTGGAGGTTGCTTTTCACCAAGCTTCTTCAGTGAAGCTTTTTTTCTTTCCATGACATTAGTTCTTGATCATCTGCTACCTCCTGAAATGGTTAAATGTTCACTAATTCTTTTTGGTAGAATGACTGAGTGTATTTCTTTCATCTTTTTTGATGATTCCTATTCTTGCAACTTGAAGCTTAAATTTTTTTCTTTGGTTCTTTCAAACTGAGGAATGCCAAGCATGCTCTTCTCTTTTGGTTTTCTAATTCCAGGTCTTTGCAAATCTCATTATAATAGTCTACTTTGTTTTCTTGAACTATCTTTTGAAATATTCTGTTTGGTTCTTTTACTTCATAATTTCTTCCATTTGTTTTAGTTGCTGCAAGTTTCAAAGGCTTTTTGACATACATTTTGCTGTGTGTGTGTGTGTGTGTGTGTGTGTGTGTGTGTGTGTGGGCGCCTGCTTTGCCATCTTTTAAGTTTTATACTGATTTATTTACAAAGTTCAAATACATTGTTTTTCGCACTGGATCTTACCCATTTCCTTCATCTCTCCATCCATCAAATTGTGTGACCCTATGATCAACCGCCCCCCCTTCGCTCATCCTAACTCCTCTGCTCCGACTTTCCCCCTCTTAGATCCTCATACTCATGTTACAATAATGTTTTTATACAGTACTTGTTCTTATTAGACTGAATTCATTCACTCAGCATAATGCTCTCCAGTCTCTCCCAAGTTAGATAGTAATTTACAAAATCTTTGCTCCTGCATGCTGTGT